CGCCCCCCCCAAATTTGCATTCCAAACTCCACCCCCAGGCTCCGCCCCCAAAATCCCGGAATTCCAACCCAAAATTTGGGTTCTTGGAGCTCCACCCAACCTTGAGGATCTCCAAAATTCTTGAGGTTCTCCAAAATTTTGGGGATTTTCCAAAATTTCTTGAGTTTCTCCAAAATTTTTGGATTTTTCCAAAATTTTTGAAGTTCTCCAACCTCGAGGATCTCCTAAATTTTTTGGATTTTTCCAAAATTCTTGAAATTTTCCAAAATTTTTGAGTTTCTCCAAAATTCTTGAGGTTCTCCAAAATTTTGGGGATTTTCCAAAATTTCTTGAGTTTCTCCAAAATTTTTGGATTTTTCCAAAATTTTTGAAGTTCTCCAACCTCGAGGATCTCCTAAATTTTTTGGATTTTTCCAAAATTCTTGAAATTTTCCAAAATTTTTGAGTTTCTCCAAAATTTTGAGTTTCTCCAACCTCGAGGTTCTCCAAAATTCTTGAATTTCTCCAAAAATTCTTGAGGTTCTCCAACTTCGAGATCTTCCAACATTTTTGAGGTTTGAATTTTTCAAAAATTTTTTATTTTCTCCAAAATTTTTGGATTTTTCCAAAATTTTTGAAGTTCTCCAACCTCGAGGTTCTCCAAAATTTTTTGAGGTTTTCCAAAATTCTTGAAATTCTCCAAAATTTTTGAGTTTCTCCAAAATTCTTGAATTTCTCCAAAAATTCTTGAGGTTCTCCAAAATTTCTTTAATTTCTCCAAAATTTTTGACTTTCTCCAAACTTGACATTCTCCAAAATTCTTCAAGTTTTCCAAAAATTTTCGATTTTCTCCAAAATTTTTGGATTTTTCTAAAATTTCTGAAGTTCTCCAACCTCGAGGTTCTCCAAAATTCTTGAGGTTCTCCAAACTTGACATTCTCCAAAATTCTTGAAGTTTTCAAAAAATTTTTGAGGTTCTCCAAAAATTTTTTATTTTCTCCAAAATTTTTGAGTTTCTCCAAAATTCTTGATTTTCTCCAAGATTTTTGAGTTTCTCCAAATTTGAGAATCTCCAAAATTTTTGAGAATCTCCAAAAACTCTTGCATTTCTCCAAAAATTCTCGAGGTTCTCCAAAATTCTTTAATTTCTCCAAAAATTCTTGAGAATCTCCAAAAACTCTTGAATTTCTCCAAAAACTCTTGAATTTCTCCAAAAATTCTTGAATTTCTCCAAAATTTTTGAATTTCTCCAAAATTTTTGAGTTTCTCCAACCTTGAGAATCTCCAAAATTTTTGAGAATCTCCAAAAACTCTTGAATTTCTCCAAAAACTCTTGACAATCCCCAAAAATCGTCGTTTTTCCAAAATTCTTGAGGTTCTCCAACATTTTTGGGAATCTCCAAAAATTCTTGATTTTTTCCCCAAAATTCTTGAGATTCTCCAAAATTTTTGGAGTCTTTCCAAAAACTTTTGAATTTCTCCAAAAATTCTTGAATTTCTCCAAAAGTTTTGATTTTCTCCAAGATTTTTGAAGTTCTCCAACTTTGAGAATCTCCAAAATTTTTGAGAATCTCCAAAAACTCTTGAATTTCTCCAAAAATTCTCGAGGTTCTCCAAAATTCTTTAATTTTTCCAAAAATCCTTGAGTTTCTCCAAAAGTCTTGAATTTCTCCAAAATTTTTGAGGTTCTCCAAAAACTCTTGAAGTTCTCCAAAATTTTTGAATTTCTCCAAAATTCTTGATGTTCTCCAAATTTGAGAATCTCCAAAATTTTTGAGGCTCTCCAAAAATTCTTGAGTTTCTCCAAAAATCCTTGAGAATCTCCAAAATTTTTGAGGTTTTACCAAAATCTTCGAGTTTCTCCAAAACTCTTGAATTTCTCCAAAATTTTTGAATTTCTCCAAAATTTTTGAGTTTCTCCAAGATTTTTGGGTTTCTAAAATTTTTGAGGTTTTACCAAAATCTTCGAGTTTCTCCAAAACTCTTGAATTTCTCCAAAACCTCTTGAATTTCTCCAAAATTCTTGAAGATTTCCAAAATTCTTGATTTTCTCCAAAACCTTTGAGGTTCTCCAACCTCGACCTTCACCGTAAGCTCCGCCCCCTCCACCGCCACCGCCCCAGGTAGGTCCTCCCCCTTCCCCTTTGACCACGCCCCCTTTCTATGACATCACCGTGACGTCATAATTTAACCAACAGCTGACTTCCCGAAGCCCCGCCCACCCGTCGTCTCCGTCTTCCAATCGTGCTCCGCCTCCCACCCGGAGGTGGAGCTCCTCTGCCTGGTCACCGACCTGGCCCCGCCCACCGTCGCCATCGATTGGCTGAAGGACGAGCTCCCCGTGGAGGGAGGCCACGCCCACACCGAGGAGGCCACGCCCGGCCACGCCCCCGGCACCTTCCGGGTGGTGTCGCGCCTCAACGTCTCGGCCTCCGATTGGTGGGACGGGAGCTTCTCCTGCCGCGTCACGCACGCCGCTTCCGGGACCGTCCGCGAGGCGGCGGCCGGGAGGTGCTCGGGTGAGCGGGGGAGG